AAAAGGACTTCTTTCTTGACCTGCTCTATCCCATACATAATCTTGTAAACCTCGATCATGTCACCTCTCAGCCGTCGTTTCTCCAAGCTAAAGTGCCCGAAGCGCTTTAACCTTTCTTCATAGGGGAAGTGTTCCAACCCTTTTATCATTCTTTTATCACGACCCCGCAGAGCTCCAAAGCGCTGACAATATTGGGCTCGGCTGGATTTATCCGGCTGCTAGCAATTTTTTAAAAATTAATCACTTGTTCCATTTGTTCCCTATCATGGGATGGTTTCGGATCGGCTTCCTATTACAAACCAATTAGCCAAATGGCGGATTTACAACGCAGGAAGATGGATCAAGCGACACTCCGCGACAAGACTGCGGGAACACCGTCTCATACTTGTGGCTCAGCACACAGGTCCCCAAAGCAGCTTACATAAACACCCAATTAAAATACAATTTAAAAAGTCACCGAAGTCACTCGTCGACAGATTAAACAACAAGAGAGACAGGTACAGATAACAATCCCGGCTAAACTCATTAAAGCCGGCGCACCACGGGGCCCTGTCTTCCATGAAAGCTCATAATACGGGCTGGTTTTAAAGCGGCGGGATCGGAATGTTAATTTTTGTTTTCTGAAACGCTGAAGTCCACATCCTTGAGCCTCGGCTTGCAAAAAGGGGCTTGCAGGCTGACCTTAGGAAGGTTTACTCGGAAGGCAATCCCATTGGGGCCGACTCCCAGGTAAGCGTGATTTGCATGGCAATTTGAGGCTTTGCGTCGCGATTTTAGGGAAGAGCTGCGACTGCCTTGAAACCTGCTGCTCGACCTCAGGTGCCTGCAAATCTATCACACCTCTTAAGGAATTAAGGACAGCGAAGCAGGAACAACACAGTTTACCGATGCCCTCAAGACCCCCAACCCACCAGGAACCCCTTTTCGTTACAGCTTGTTCCTCTTTTTGTACACGTGTACACCCAAGTAAGGAGCAGCGGTGGCTCAAGTACTTAAGATGCTGAACTGCAGGCTGTGGAAGGTCAGTAGTTCAGCAGTTCGAGACCCGGGTGCCGCATGACGGAGTGAGCTCCTGTCTCTAGTTCCAGCAGTTCGAAAGCAAGAAATTGCAAGTAGATAAATAGGTACCACTTTGGTGGGAAGGTAACAGCTTTCCGTGCGCCTTGGTGTTTAGTCATGCCGGCCACATGACCACGGAAACGTCTTTGGACAGCGCTGGCTCTTCGGCTTGGAAACGGAGATGAGCACCGCAACCCTAGAGTCGGATTCGACTAGCTTTCGAGCAAGGGAGACCTTTACCTTTACTTTTTACACCCAAGTATCGGTCTGGAAATGATAGAAGGTGCCCGAATTCAACTAATATCCAAAGATAGAGAGTCATGCCAAGGAACACAGTGTGGCTTCCCTATCAATCATACGACAATCCACCCTAAGAGGGATTCAGTTGAGGGCCATTTCCCTCCCAAGGGCCTCAGAGTCTCCTCCCAGATAAATTGACAACTCAGATTTCCAAAGAAAGAAGCAACAGATCAATTCCGGAGATCTCTCAGCTCTCTAAACAACCAGGCACGAAAGTTCCAGGCCTTCCTCAATCGTGACAAGTACCCGACGGTAGAGCTAGCGTCCAAATCTCCCCAAGCAGGGAACATTTTTGATATTTTCAACGCAAAAGGAGAAAACTGCCCTCCACTTAGACAAAGGAGCTCTTTTCAGAGGTGCAGCTTCTTGGAAGATTACGTTTTTATTGTTTTCAGCTTTCCAGTACCACCCCCCCTTCCCCTCCTCATCGTAGCCAAAAGGGCATAAGAAGTTACCCCTCAGCCCGATTTTTTTTTTGGACAGTTTCGGACTCATCCCTCTTGATCTCAACTCCGTGTTCCACAGACCATCCGCTGCACTCCCCTCCCCGCCTGATCAGTTTTCACCTCCCGAAAGCGCTTCTTCACCAGCAAAGGGCAATACCCCTCCAGTGTTCCCTCTAAACTGAGTTAGTGTGCGCTAGCCTCCGGCTCACACATTGTTGTCTTAGCTCAGGAAGGAGGGCTCCAGAGCAAACTAATTTAATGTGGTAGCCAAATCGCTCGCTCCCAACTTTAATGCCAGGAGCTCACAAAGTAGAACTGTTGCTCACGATACTCCACAGCTTAGAGGGAGCATCGCACCCCTCCCCCACTTCTCTTCAGGGCAGGCTTCGGGGTCCTGTTGCCTTATCGTACTTTTATATTCCCTTTCGCGTAGGTAGATTTTCCAGGGACATGTCTATGCGTGTTATTTTGGTCTCTTTTTCTGTTTGTAAACTAAACCCTCCTTTTGTTTAATGGTCTTTCCCCCTCGTTTTCCCAAGTGCCGGTCTGAATCTGGAGCAGTGTTCCCTCTAAGCCAAGTTAGTGTGAGCTAGCTCACAGTTCTTTAGCCTCCAGCTCACACAGTTTTGTCTTAGCTCAGGAAGGAGGGCTCCAGAGCAGACTAATTCATGCAGCAGCCAAATCGCTCGCTCACAACTTTAATGCCAGTAGCTCACAAAGTAGAATTTTTGCTCACAAGACTCCACAGCTTAGAGGGAACACTGATCTGGACCCCGGCATGCACAGGCTTAAGATCCAAAGTCTGTAGATGCCCAAAAGTCACACATTTATTTCGTAAAAGCAGAGAGACACCTCTGCGCTTCGGGGCCCTCATGCGTGCCTAGCGATCTGGGTAACATCACCTCTGCATTCGAGGTGTTTGCTGAACATTTCAGCTTAAGATTGCGGGGTGGGGTGTGTGTGGAATCTCTCAACAAGCACGGCGCTTGTTACACGCCCTGAACTACTCATGGCCACAGTGCATTGTCTGCATACACGTCTCTCAGTATTTAAACCAACTTGGGAGAAATTGATGTTCTAAAGGAGAACGTGGCGAGAGAACCATGTCAAATTACAAGAGTCCAGAAAAGGTTGCTCCACATTACAGAACCTCTTTGCAAAGTGATTTCAAGAAATCTTCACTTAAAAAAAAAAAAACCTATCCCCAAGCGAAAGAAGTGGGAACTAGGTAGCAAGTTTTGCAAAAGCAATTTATATGTATGACTTCCGTACAACCAACAGAGCAGAGGCCCATCAGTGGCTATTAGACACAAGGTACAGATAGGAACTCTCGGGCTGGAGCAAGAGATGCTCTGTATTCTTGGTGCTCGGGGGGGGGGCAACAGTGGGAGGGCTTCTAGGGTCCTGGCTCGGCCGCTGCACACCTGGCGTTTTTAGCCACTGTGGACAGTGTTGGACTGGATGGGCCATTGGCCTGATCCAACATTGGCTTCTCTTATGTTCTTATAAGAGGGAATAGGATAAACAAATGGAGCAGAGGTCCATCAGTGGCTATTAGCCACAAGGTATAGATAGGATCTCTCGGTCTGGGGCAAGTGATGCTCTGTGTTCTTGGTGGCTGCGGGGGGGTCAACAGTGGGAGGGTGTCTTGGCCCCACTGCTGGACCTCCTGATGGCACCTGGTATTTTTGGCCACTGTGTGACAGAGTGTTGGACTGGATGGGCCATTGGCCTGATCCGACACTGGCTTCTCTTATGTTCTTACGTTCTTAACCACTACCACATAAGATTTTTTTTCTTACGAAATCAAGCAAGGATTTAAAGAAAAGGGAACCTACAAGCATGGGGAGAGGCAGGAATACATTCCACAAAACCAAGAAGGTACCAGTAACCTGCATTTCCCCTTAATTCAGTTTTCTATCCATCCACTGCAACCCCCAATCTAGCCATCTTAGTCCACTGCCTACTAGCCCGTCTTCCACCACAGCGCACGCACGCACACACCCCGTTTCCACAGCTTCCTGGCCTGCTCCTGTTTCTAAGCAGCACATAGTCCCTCCCAAATCCAATAATCCTCTAGGGCAGTGGTGGTGAACCTATGGCACGGATGCCAGAGGTGGCCCTAAGAGCCCTCTCTGTGGGCACACGTGCCATCGCCCCAGCCAGGCCCAGACCATCATTAAAGTGTCGAATTCTCTGCCAAATAATTTTAAGTAAATGAAAGCATTTGGGATTGCTTTCCTTACTTTGTTTGGATCATCTTAAGTTAATGTATGAGTGTTTTTTTCTAAAGTAAAACCTCAGTATTCTGGTTAAATTGCCGTGTTGGCACTTTGCGATAAATAAGTGGGTTTTGGGTCGCAGTTTGGGCACTCGGTCTCTAAAAGGTTCGCCATCACTGCTCTAGGGTGTTTTTTCTAGCAGCGAAGTGCATACTGATATTTCACACATTAACTCTTTCAAGCACTGCAATTCCAGAGTGAGCATTCTGTGATATCACAACAGCTCAACCAATGGCGAGAAACCAACTCCTGACCTAAGTCAACAGACTGTCTAGAGAGGGAATGACGGGGGAAACTATGAAAAGAGGTTAAACGGGGGTGAAAATAGCTCTTTGCAGATTTCCCTGCCATCCACGGATGAATGTACAGGGCTCTCCCTCTATCCTAGCCCTGCAAAGACATCCTCTCCTTGACACAGAACACGTACTCACCTGTCAATTAATGCAATAATGATGTTTTTGACATTCACATTTTGGTGCAACTCCGCGCATGCTCGGAGAAAAGGATTCAAGGTCTGGAGGTGAAATTCATCTGGGAAAACCTAGAGACAGCAAGAAGAGTCAATTGTGGGTTGAATCTCATCTGCCCCTTTTTTCTGCACACAGCAAAAGCTCCAGACAGCCAGGCTAACCCAAATAAAGTTGGATCATCCAGGTACCTTTCAATCCTCACAAACTCCGCCTTTTTCCTACACAGATCTGTCATTCGCCACTACAAATGAATAATACTATAGATCAGTGTTCCCTCTAAGCTGAGTGTGAGCTAGCTCACAGTCTTTTAGCCTCCGGTTCACACATATTTTGTCTTTGCTCACAGGAAGGACGGCTCCAGAGCAAACTAATTTATGCAGAAGCACAAATTTAATGCCGGTAACTCACAAAGTAGAACTTTTGCTCACAAGACTCCACAGCTTAAAGGGAGCATTTCTGTGGATGCTTATAATTATTTATAATATTACCAATAAAATGCACCTTCTGACCAATCCAGTTTCCTCTGCTTAGAAGTGCGAATTTACAACATGCAACTACCACCCTTACTGTACTTATGTTGAGCAAAATTTGAATTCATGACTCTGCGCTCTTCAAGCACTGATTGTCCCAGATGTTTGAGTTGGATGCTTATAATTATTTATAATATTACCAATTATAATATTACCAATAAAATGCACCTTCTGGCCGATTCAGTTTCCTCTGCTTAGAAGTGCAAATTTACAATATGCAACTACCACCCTTGAATTCATGACTCTGCGCTCTTCAAGCACTGATTGTCCCAGATGTTTGAGTTTTTTGCACATGGAGGCAGCTATTTCCATTATCTCTCTTTGTTTCCTCTTTAAAGCCCATCCGTCTTGTCCGAAACAATTTGATTGGCTCGGATCAGGCGGCACTTGCCCAACCACTCTCCTACACATGACAAACCACTGAGAGAATGTCTCTGTCCTCTCTTATCACACCTGCCCTTTCCCAAAAGCCACCTGTTCACTTCATCACGTAAGACACACAAAAATGAATCCAATGAGGGTAAACCCAGACTGGATACCAGATTCTTGGGACTCCCACCCTGCCATTCAGGCCTACGCACATGGAACGTTATGTGTAGAAGCTCTGTTCAAATGTGCTGCCTACCTGAGGACATAACAGGCATGCTGAGTGGGCAGG